CAACTGCCCCCAACACTTTACCCTAGTAGAAACAAGAATAGAATTTTCTGTTGAGCTCTGTTTAGGTGAAAATGTCAGAGGCCAAGTACAAAGCATGAAAATGTTACCATGGTGACATTATAAATACCCAAGATAGGTTTATTCTTATCTCCCTCATATCAGAAAGTTATGTTTTAACATGACTTTATAATATAAGTGGTCCAGAGTTATCAATGTGGCTCATTCTTCCAAAAAAGAAAAATCTGATTCAACTCACACCAATAGTAAAAGGAAACAAATCTTCTAAATCTCAAGGGGCTTGTGTTACACTTTGTTAGCTAGTGACCACTAGGAGAGCAAGCATAAGAGGCATACCATTCATTCCTGTTGAATCAACCTAGCATTTGATCAGTGATTTCAACACATCTACACTGGAATCAGACCCAAAGAGTTGATTCCAACTTGAAATTCATGTGTTTTCCTGTCATATCAAGCACTGAGAGGTGTCCATTTAAGGCAGGGACTAACTTCCACCTTCACGTCTAATTAGAAAGACTAAAGAAGAAAGAAATGTACCATATTTTTCGCTCTATAAGACGCACCAGACTACAAGGCGCACCTAGTTTTTGGAGGCGGAAAACAAGAAAAAAAATATTCTGAATCTCAGAAGCCAGAACAGCAAGAGGGATCGCTGCGCAGTGAAAGCTGCAATCCCTCTTGCTGTTCTGGCTTCTGGGATAGCTGCGCAGCCTGCATTCGCTCCATAAGACGCACACACATTTCCCCTTACTTTTTAGGAGGGAAAAAGTGAGTCTTATAGAGCAAAAAAATACGGTATTTCCACAGAGAATGAAAGAAGAGGGTTAGGAGAAAAGACATATAGGGCCCTATCCCTTTCAAAACTAAAACTTGTCCCGAGGGAGAGGAACAAGAAAGAAGTTGGGATATAGATATAGATATATATGATGACACAGCAAGCTTTAACATAGATTTTAAAATATGTATAAAGTGAGTATTTTATAACAAAGTTAAGAAAATCTAAACTTTGTTTTCTTGCAATAACTACAATTCCTGTATCTTTAACATGTGGTGGTGTTTTCATGCAGATTGCCTTCAAGCAAGATGCAACACCAGCCTGATTAACCACAATATGTAGGAACCCAACTGCAGTTCAATGGTATGGGTATATAATGGACAGTCAACATGGTACCCTCCAAATGTTATTGGACCACAGCTCCCGTCACCCTGACCATAAGCCATGCTGAATGGGGTTGACAGGAGTTGGAGTAACAACTGAAGGGCACCACACTGGATATCTCTGGTCTTTAAGCTAGCTATACAGATGACACATTACTACAAAACATGGTTGTGCTATCTTCAAGTCAAGGGAATCAGTTGAGGAATCATTTATTTGACCGCTAAACGTTACACAGAAACTGTTCCTGTTTCTCTGGTCAAACAAATGGTGAAGATGTTGGTAGCATAGGGGGAAACAACAGATTTCCCAGAAGACTTGCAAGATTCAAGGCCTCAATATTTTTTTTAAAGTGTTACAAATGTTTAAATATTTTCATATTATCTTTCAAGACGATAATAAATTTGAATGGAAGAACACTGGGCTCTATTCAATGTTCTGTTTGCTAGCGCAATGACTCTTGGGTTTTAATGTTTTACAACAAAGAAATAAGCTCCAACAACTGTGCTAGCAGAAACTCATTGTGTAACAGGTGCGCAATCTATTGTGCAATGAAGTTACCAGCAACCTGCTTATGAATTATCCTGTACAATAAAACATTTCACCAGTGAAACAACTATGTTGTTAAATAGCTTCAACTTGTAGAAACACAGGATACAACCCATTATTTCTTTCTTATCCAACATGGGTATGACTAAATTTCAAGAATTATTAAAATGAGTAGCTGCTGGAATTTGGAACTTAAGTTACACGGCCTTAGTAAGCCTTAATTAGAAACAAATACATGCTAATTACCAACATTTTCCCTAATTGAGGTACCATCTTCCATACTCTTTGTAGTGCACATTCATTCATTTTTTAATTTAGAAAAAATATTTCATGAGTTAAAAACTGTATTGAGAATCATTTCTTCTATTTTCAAAATTCAAGACTGAATGTGGTTTATGTAGCAAAAATGGCGCCAACCATGCACAAGAGGGAGTGGGGAGGTCTGAGAGAATGTCAAGATTTATAAAGTCTTTATTTAAAAAATCCTAAGAGGTGGTAAAGCAAGCCCAAAGCAGCCAAATGAGAACTGAGCATGCCCAGTGTGCAGAATTCAACTAAACTTTACATAATGGCAGGCACACTGTGGGCGTTTAATGAATAGGCATGGCTAAGAAGGAACAGCAAAGTAAAGTTGGGTTACAGACATCTCTTTCACATAGATACCAAAAAAGGAAAGCCATTCTGAGTCACAACCATGGGAAAGAAGAGGGTGGAGGAAGCGGGTTCTTGGTGGGTTGAAATAGATGAGTATTTTAAATGTCTCTAGTCACACCGAACAAAGAATAGTACTAACATAAAATAGTATTGACATAAAATAACGCCAATTGAGTTTCCGTATTTTTAAAACTAAAAGAGAACTATGATGCCCACACATAATTGCAGAGCAATTTCCACTGAGGACAGTCTGAACTGTGTTAAAATCAATGCAATTGTAGCTATCAACCCTTCCATTTTGTAGCCACACCACACTCTTTTGGTGGCTCAAATGAGAAAGCCCCAATTGTGCTATTATCTGTAGACAATGAAAAAAGAGATTAGTGTTCTGGTGTGTGTGTGTTTCAATTGCCCCTGAAATTATGAGATCTAACAGTCTAATCCTCTTATCTGTTTATGTACCTAAAAATCTTCACAATATGTTGTGAAGCCATAAGGTTAGCCTGTCCTCTCCAGCACTCACACAAGCCTAAATCTTGCAGAAACGTAATATGCTGCAAGGGCCCAGCACCACAGGATGGCTCACACTGACCATGGACTAGCTTGGTGCTAAGCCTCCAAGCGCCATGGGCTCTGTTCACTGCACTGCCAGAGGGCCACTGTGGGAAAGCAAGTGAAAGCAGTGGTGGTTGCCTCTGCCCACCCACCTTCTCTTTCCATGGACAGCACAGCACTAAAAACTGGAACCAGCAGGGCTGCCTAAAGAGAGTGTACAAACCCAAAAAGACTGCTAGCTCCATTCACTTGTTCATCTTCTCTCTCTCAGGGAGGACTGGGCCCTGTGGCACTCTCAACAGAGAAAGGTCTCCCCCAGCTTGCCCTCTCTTGGGTCAGTGCAACTGTGTCCAATACCCACCACCGCTGCAACCAGAGGGAGAGTGTAGGTGTGCAACTGGACAGAGGCAACTCCTCATGAAAGGAGCAATAATTTCTGCCCCTGTCCTTCTGCTCGCTCACCTGTGCAGCAAGCAGTGATTGGATGTAGGGAGCCAGTACTCATTTCTGCACTGTCCAGAGTGGAGAGCAACCAAGAAGAGGCAGTAGCAACTTTCGCTGATTCACTTGTTCTGCGAAGCCCTGCTGTGTCCAATCATTCCCCATCATATCACTCCAATTGTTGCACCCAAAGAGAAAGAGAGTGAGGCAGAGCCTCCCAGAGTTTGAGAGAGGCCAGCTAAGCAACCAGAAGTAATGGTAACAACCCCTTGTGGCCATCACTTGCCTAGTCCTTCCTGCCATGCTCTTAAGATTGAGGGGAACATAAGTGATTCCACAATCCTACAAGGAACAGCTTCTCCTCTTTTCCTTGCCTGTGGTCTCCTTTTACTTGCTTGCCCTCCATCTGCAGGCAACATGGCAGGGAATATTGGGCCCAGCACAGCTTCCCAGAATGAATGAGCAGAAGCTGTCACTACTACCTTTACTTGGTAACCCTCTAGAATGCTGCCTGATCTCCGCTGCTATGCTTGTGCCACCCAGAGGGAAAGTGCAGGTGAGTGGATGTGAATATGAGATGGCTGGTTCAATGCATGAGCAATTCACTCTTCTCCACTTGCATACCTCTCCTCTCCCTCTGGAAGCTATAGTGGCAGACATTAGGTAGCAACATGGGTCCCTTTCCACAGAGAGAAACTATGCCCTACCAGTCACATCTTCCTACTTGTTCACACCCTCTCCTGGCAAGATGGGGAGTATTGTACTTACAGCGTGGTGAGAGAAACACACACACACACACAACACCACAAAAGGGCCCTCCATAGCCTGCAACCATGCTGCAAATTTTCCTGTGCATAAATGCCAAGTGGGAGCTTCTGCTGCTCTAACCAGCAAACAGCTTCAGCCACCTTGATCCTGTCCCCCATACCACCCCGCCCCCTCCAAATCTACACGTCTTTTAAGCGGAGGTGGGGGGTGAAGGGGAATCACAAAGCTAGGTAGGAGGAGAATATAGCTTCTTTGCAGCTCTGCTTTCTCCCCTTAGCAACCACTGCATTTCAACCGATTACCACCAGCAGCAGCACCCTCGGGCGCTTCCATCACTCCATGGCTCACCCACCGCCCCCGAACCGCCATCCGCCCCCAAACGGAGGCAACACCCAGCAGCAATTTTTTTGGGAGGGGGTGGCGGGTGGGGGAACAGGGAAGAACGTGAAGCCACAAAGAGCTACTTCCTCCAGCTTGAATCCCGGCTTCCCCATGCAGGGAGCCGGAGCGTGCAGCGCTTGCACTGCTCACACGCCCCTACAGCAGGCAACCGTAGGAGCAGCAGCCCCTTCCCCAAGAAAAAGGACGCAGCCCCCTGCTCCAAACATGCACATTGCAGGGAGGGGAATCTGCCCATCAGCCTTTCCGCTGCCTGCAAATGATAACGGCGGCGACAGCGATTCCCATAAAGAAATCGAGAGGTTATGGGGTTTAAAGAAAAAAGTGAGAAGATAGGTTAAGGTAGAAGGATGGCGATTCCCCTCCCTTTTTTTTATTGCTCCCCCCCCCCCACGATGCGGATACCCTTCAGGTGAGCATCTTGCATCTCCCACCCCACCCAGGTCTGGAGAACAGGTACCTTGTCAGCTGAAGTCTCTCCGCTTGCCAGTCCCCCAAGGCAACCACCCAAAAGGCAAGCTCTTCATCCAGTCAATCCTTTAGGACCGAGGCGGCGTGCGAAGAAAGGGGGGGAAAGGGGGGGTCCTGCCGGCGCCGCCACTACAGCCGCGGAGGCAGCGATGCAAATAAATCGGTGGGGATGGGGGGGGGCGCCTCGAACCAGCCCCCTTTCCCCGGCGCATCTGCCGGAGCGGCGCGCAGGAGCGAGACTCCACAAGGGCGCGCGCGCAGGAGGGCTGCCTCACATTGCCGCGGCTGGCCACGAGGAGCTCTCCGACTGCTCCTCCGCCGAGGAGAAAAGGGTCGGAGGGCAAAAACACACAAAAAGATAACCCGAGTGTGTGTGTGTGACTGTCAAGGCCGCCGCCTCCTCCTCAGCTTCAGGCGACGGCTTCGCTTCTTCCCTCCATTCACAGGTGTAATAATGGTTGCAGAGGAGAGAGGAGGAGGAGGAGGGAAAGGAAGGGAAGCGGGAGGAGGGCTGGCGCTGCCCACATGTGGCCGAACCTCCTTGGCTGCCGGCGAAAAGCTCCCGAGGAGGAGGAAGAAGAGGGCGCCCCTCACGTCCGACGGCGCCAACGGAGCGAAGCAAGAGAAACCGCCTGGCGCCCTCCCTCAGGGAAAGGAGCGACCCCTGGCCGAGAGGGCGGCAGCCTGGCGCTGTGCTGAGGTGTCCGCCCGCTCAAAACCCAACGCCCCGAGCGGAGAGGAAGGGGGGAGGAGGTCGGCAGGAGAAGGAGCCTCCGGCTTCAGCTTCGCCTCAGAGGCATGAAGCCGGCGCTCGCCCTCCAGAGCAGTAGAGGGAGGGGGAGGAGAGGCAGCGGCCGCCCCCACAAGGCGCGCGCGTCAGCGCTCCTCGCTAACCACCGCTCCCCCCCCCCAATCTCAGCCCCCTCTTCTCGCGCGCGCGCGCGCACGCGCTCGCCGCCCCGCCGAAAGAAGAAGTGGAGTGGGCGTGGTGGAGGAGGAGGAGGCCAGTGTACAAACGCCCCGCCCACCTGGCCCACGCTCTGCACGTGGCCGCCGTGGTCCCGCAGCCAAGGACACGCCCCTTCGAAAGGCTGCTTCACCTTTGCTCATCTTCTCGCAGCGGCAGAAGCCACGCGCGGACCCTGGATGTGGGAGTAGCGCGCGCCTTCCCGCTAGTCTCACCCCAGTGGTCAAGGAGCGTGGTTTCTTGAGCGCCTACTGGAGACCCGCAGCCTCAGAGCAGCACTAGCAGCTGCTGGAGATGAAGAGCCGGCCTTACCATTGGCAAATTGAGGTAGCTGCTTCAGGCGGCAGATCCTGCTTCCCCACCCAGCGCTTCCACAGGAGAAGGGAGGAGAAGAGGCAGGGTGGGGATCCAGTACGCTCTCCTGCTGCTGCTGCTGCTGCTGCTGCTGCTGCTGCTGCTGCTTTTCCTCACTTCTCAGGTGATGATGGGGAGGTACGTGCATCAGTGCCAGTGTGTAATGGGCACCCCCTGCCCCTCAGTACCAGAGGAAAGAAGTGGCACCAGCTTCCAGTGGCAGGTCCACCATCACCAGAGAAGAAGTAGTGGCTTCTGGCTTCTCATTGCTTCTCTGGAAGGGGCAGGAGGCGTCCAGAGAAATCTGGCGTCACCCCATGGGTATGGTGGGTGGCAGAGGACATTGCAAATGAAGGCTGTGCGGTTTCTGAGGGTGTGGCAGGGTGATGATGCACCGCACACTGCAAAATCCATGCTGCATGGCCTCTCCCCAAGTCCATATGCTCTCTCTACCTATTGAGGGTGCTTCTATCTGTTTTGCTGCCCCGCTTCCTGGGCTGCATGTGCATTACTGGCTTAAAATGCAGCTAGGTCATTATTTTTGTCCATTTGGATCAAGGCTGGTTTGAGGGGAAATCCACTATTTCGTAACATATGGATTGTGGCTAACATCGTGCGTACACCACTTCCCAAACCAGTGACGAGAGGACCCTGGATGCAGAGTAAACAGGAGTTTGCATAGAATCCTGCTCAATCACTGACCCTACTTTTGCCTTTTTCTTCTTCTTTTTTTTTTGCAAAAAATGAAAAAAAATAGTGTGGGGTGCTTGCTTCGGCAGCACATATACTAAAATTGGAACAATACAGAGAAGGTTAGCATGGCCCCTGCGCAAGGATGACACACAAATTCGTGAAGCGCTACATTTTTATTTATTTTTTAAGTGTGGGCTGTGAGAGTCGCCATTCTTCTGGTCAGTCACTGGCGCGAGCTTAGCAAGAATGAGCAAGCGTGTGGGTGCCCTGAGCGGAAATCGTGGCCACTTTGTTCATCTCTCAGTGCTGCTACTGCCATGGTACCCAGAACTAAGCCATGGTTTTGCTTAGTTTTATACACAGACCTGGACAAGTGGTTAACCCAGAACGTTTCAGATGCCAGACTAAAACTTTTCTTTCAGGAGGCCTTTGCACCATGAATGTTGTTCTTAGGTTGCTGTTGTCTGATGTTTTAATCTGCAATATTTGTGTACTGTGTATCTGTTTTTTCTCTCTAAGCCACTTTGAGATACATTGGAAAAGGAAGTATAAATTCCTTAAAGAAATAAACAAACAATAACGTGCAACAGTTTTGCATTATCAATTGAAGCTGCTGTGTTTGTGTGTATATGCTGAATGGCTTCAGTGTAGGGACTTTGTAATATGTGAAGTGGCTCCCAGGATTTTTCAGAAGGGTTTTTAAGAAGTCATTTCTGAAATCTCTTTCCAGGAAAATTTTAGATACCGTACATCCACACCTGCAACATTTCTTATGTCTGCAATTGGAATTAAAAGGCCAGTTTGATAGGTGCATTTGCCGTTTTCATAAACATATTGCAGTTCCATTCCAGAAGCATCCCTGTTACCTAAAGGTAAAGGGACCCTGACCATTAAGTCCAGTTGCAGATGACTCTGGGGTTGCTGCTCTCATCTCACTTTACTGGCTGAGGGAGCTGGCATTTGTCCGCAGACAGCTTCTGGGTCATGTGGCCAGCATGATGAAGCCGCTTCTGGAGAACCAGAGCAGCGCACGGAAATGCCATTTACCTTCCTGCCGAAGCAGTACCTCTTTATCTACTTGCACTTTGATGTGCTTTCGAACTGCTAGGTTGGCAGGAGCAGGGACCGAGCAGCAGGAGCTCACCCCGTCGTGGGGATTTGAACAGCCAACCTTATGATCAGCAAGCCCTAGGCTCTGTGGTTTAGACCACAGCACCACCCGGTTCTATCCCTGTTACTTTGTGTTAATATTGGTAGACTGCATTCTCTCTGCATTATGTACTATACAAAATGTTGAGATGTGTACGCTGTTTTTGAAGAACAATCAGCCATATCCCTGTTCCTTTTTATTTTTAAAGACCCTGTGTGACTAGGGGTGTTATCATACATGGCATTAAAATACATTTGAGCTTTTCTCTCAGTCACACACACAAACAGTTTTTATGTCGTGTAAATGCTGATAAGGCAAGAGAGAATTTGGAAGAGCAATTGAGCAAATACAGACCCTAATGTAGTCCCTGGAGCCAACTTAAAAGAAAGCTGATTTAAACCGAAAAGTCCCCATGAGTTCATCCTGCTGTTTACCCCTTCTGTTCTTTGCTGTCCCACCTTATTTTCCCTTTTCCCCCTGCCTATTTGCAATTTTGCACACATACTTGCTTCCATTGCCTTTCCAATCATCCAAGTAGAGCTATTCTTTCCTGCCTTCTTTTTATTTCCCCAAATTCTATCATTTTGCTGCTGTGTTTCTCTTTCCATTCTTCTTAATCCAACCCAAAAAGTATATCAACTTTGATGATTCAAGGGATGAATCCCCTTCGCATGTTTTAACCATTATTTTTTTCTCTGAAGTGAAGACTAACCACCAATCTCAACCAGAAACAGGGTTGTCAAATGACAATGTTAAGAAAAAAGCAGTTACAGATAGGTAGCCGTGTTGGTCTGCCATAGTCAAAACAAAAAAATTTCCTTCCAGTAGCACCTTAAAGACCAACTAAGTTAGTTCTTGGTATGAGCTTTCGTGTGCACGCACACTTCTTCAGATACATGTGTATCTGAAGAAGTGTGCATGCACACGAAAGCTCATACCAAGAACTAACTTAGTTGGTCTTTAAGGTGCTACAAGAAAAAAGCACTGATTGTGTTTTCTCAGAACTTTTATTGAAGACCAAAAAAGTAAACCCAGACTACATTCTTAGCAGTACACTGGCATTGGCTCTGATTCAGTGCTGGTTGTGTGATTGTCTGCCTTGTTCGATTCCCCATTATACATAGGATGAGGAGACTTACTGAAGGGGAAAGTCTTGCTCCAAGGACCATTTTATTCTGGTGGATGTTTTTTCAGTCAGAGCCTATGTCGGTTACATGAGTTTTTAAATAGACAAGGAATTCCATTAAACTCAGTGGAACTGGGTTTGGTTGTACACACACATTATTATACCAGATGTGTCATGTCTGCTGTTTCCTTTTTCTTATCATTTGGTTATTTAAATGCATTTATAACCCTCTTCATACATATTTTTTTTAAAAAATCTCTAAAGATGTAGTGTGCAATATAAAAGCAAACATAATCTTTAAAACAAAAATACAACAAAACTTCTTTAATGAGATTTGGTACTTTATTTTTACTCATTTTTGGTTATGGGGGGGGATGAGGACACTTGTAAGCTGCCTTGAGTAAGATTTATCATAGGTACGACTTGTAATCTAGAATGGTCCCCAAGGCTGAGGTGTTAGAACAGCTTTTCTAAAATAACAGAATTCACTAAATTCTACAGAGCAATGGTAGCTGTTTTATACTTATAGTTGTCGTTTACTGTGAAAGTCAGTAACTACTGTCCGGGAATCCTACTGAATAAGAGGAACTTTTGGTTTTATCCCATCCTTGAAAAACTTCAGTGCTGGTGCCAAGAGAGAGTTTGTCAGAAGGGAGAGAGAATTGGGAATTCAGTGTTTTAGAAGTGTCAGGGAGAAGATAACTTGCCTCAACTTTGCTTTTTCAAAATGCTGATGCCAGCTGTTTTAATGGTTTCTATAACCATTTCTGTAATGTCTGCCAGGGTATTGTGGACCTGTAGATTTATTGCCTTTGGTATGAAGCACTTGCGGGTATTTTTAACAGGAAAATTAGCGCTCTTGGACACCGCTGCAGAAGACACTAAATTATATAGCAACGAAAAACAACTGGGGGGCTATGGATGCATTCCTCACTGGGGACATTGGGAGTATAATTCATAAACAAAAGTTCTTTATTTCTGTAACTCTGTGCAGTAAACACATGGGTCGGATAGTGGGGGTGAACCCCCTGGGTTTGCCTCCCCCCTCCCATGGTTCCCATTGCCCGTCTGAAGTGGGGAGCCTCATGCTCTCATGGAGGATCCCCACATGTTTTAGAATCCTGGAGAACTGGGATTATAAAATATATTGGGAACCACAAGCCCATGAGCCCCCTACTTTAGACAGTCATGCTCTATGGGAGGCAGAACCAGTGTACTCTTTGCTGTGCCTACCTCCCCACACCATGTGTTAACTCTACACTGTGGTGGCTAATCCTTGGCCTGCCATCCACATACAGTTCACAACATTGTTGTTATGGTCCCCCAATGCCCTCCAAAAAATTCATTTTTGAAAAATAGACGGCTGCTACTTGTCCCCTACTGTGATGGCATGAGTCCAAAATATGATCTGCAGCCCCCAAACATCTCCCTTAAAAATTGTAGTCATTGGAAGATAATAAATATATGTACTGATCACTCCTCTACATCCTCTGCTGTGCTTCTGTGTCGCCAGAAGGTTGTTGTGACAAGGCCCCCCAAAATGTATCCTTTTAAATCATTAAAATTGGCTACAGTACTTGTATGCTTCAGCCATACCCATTTTGACATGTAGCCTTTGGAGGGTCAGTCAAAAAATGT